TTCGAATATCGACACGCACATACAAGTGCGTAAAATTCGTTGGCACCAAGATGGCGCCCAGATGTAAGAAAGCACGAAATGGACGGTCGAATTTATCCTATCTCAGGATCGACCATGTAATTTCGTCGTCTTAAAGTCGTCTTTAAGTAAGGCGTCTTTAAGATATCTTAAAAACGTCTTATGTCCCGGTTTTAGGTTTTATATTGTCTGATGGAAAAGGATGGTAATGGATACATTAATATGGCTGATATCTACGAACAATGAGACGTGAATGTCATACTATTTATACGATTCCGTACATATCTTTCGGAACCATTTTCCGTAAGAGTTAACGACCTGGTAGTACATACAAATCTGTGGATCGTTACCCAGAATAAATCGCAAGGTTGCGTTCGCTCCTTCACATCGTTCTCAGGTTCGCGATTTCGCGATCGTCTCGGCGAATTTGCGGGAAAGACCGCTTTCGTTCACACGAGCATGCACACTAACCTCAATGCGAGGCGACGAGTGGACGAAGAGCAACGGGCCGTTGCTACATGGTGAACGACGTCGCATCTCCCCGGCGTCAGTCGTTGCTTCATTTGCGTTGCTGCAGGTCCCACGACATCCACCTTGACGAGGATGACGAAGATAACGGTGACGGGCAGGTCGAGGACGACGGTGGACGCACTATGACTCGCGTTCGATAGAATTTCGCGGCGGCCGACGCGACGCACATAGCCGCGCGCGTTCGAACTGAAGTTCGTGCGTTCACGTGATCCAACGGCCGAGCGTATTCGCCAATCAAACGGCGGCACCGCTGGAACCGGCGGCGTGCGTTGCTATTCGCCCGTCACCTTGCGTCCCCCATGAATCGCGCGTCCGACTAGACGATGACGACGACGACAACTAAGCGCGAGACGGCGGCGACGTTTGAATCGCGCTAGTCGATGCCCGCGGCCGAAGGGAGCCCCGATGCTTACACCCGCGTTTCCAGGCGACGAGCCAGACCCCCGCGCATGACCCTTGCGCGTGTAACGCGAATCGTTACGTTGTAATCGCGGATACGCGTACACACGACGACGAAGGCCGATATTCCGGACCGGATATCGGGACCTTCTTGATATATCCAAGGCGGACAAATCGAATCCTGTTGACTCGAATATTGACGACGAAGAGCTCCTCTCGCGAGCTCACGAGATAGAGAAACAGCTCAAACTACCGATGAGCACCGAAAATGGTGGTCGACTCGGCCTACTTCGGGGAATCGCCGAAACCCCGACAGAGCGATTGTCGACGTATCAGCATGGGGAATCATGGGAATGATGCTCGTCGACGGTACGCGGCGTATTTACATAGCTAGCTCGCGATAGGCAGACAACGAGCGCTGAGTGTACATCAGGTCGACAGAAATACCCAGCTGCACGTCTTTCGTAGACATTTATTTGCGAGATAGAGATAGAAAGAGACAGAGTGGATAGATAGACAGATAAATAGAGAAAGAAAGAAAGAAAGAGAGAGAGAGATATATATAAATATAAGAGTTACTCGCACGCCACTGCGAAATCGGCGATTATCGCGTCGCCGGCGAACGCGCTCTGTCGCGACACGCTCTAGTGACTTTGTAGAGCGCAACGTGAGTCCGTCCGCGAGCAACGCGCCGGTGTCCTTGAACGTGCCGCATATCTCGTTCTCCAATGTCCCGGAGCTCGCGTATCGACACGCCCGTATCGTCCGCAGGATAACGCCCCGACGGGGGATTAAGGCTGGCGACCCCCCGCGGCGCCAGCATTATCTCCCGGCCGTGTGACAGCCCGACCGAGTGCTCCGCGTTGTGTGCACCGTGCGATAATCATCGGCGCGCCCGGCCCGGCGGATCTAGTGACTTTCGGCGCGACGTGGTAAGCGGCCTGAGGCGATGAGCAGCGACAACAGCAGCAGGCCGATGGCGAGGGGAACGACGTCGAGCGACAGCCACGACGAGCGATGCTCCGGGTCGGCCACGAGGAGGAGGAGGTCGTGCAGGCTCTCGTAGAGGAGACGATGCGCGCTGCGCAGGGCGGTGACGAACGAGTCGCCGGCGACGCGAGCGTCGTTGCCGCAGCAGTCGTACGACATGTGACGGCTGGCGAAAGCCGCTGCTATCAGTGTCGTTCACAGGACGCGGTGACGCGCCGGTGCGACCCGATGTGACCTCTGCGAAGCTCCCGGTCCCGACGATGACGACGCGGTAGTGGTGGAGGAGGCAGCGCGCGAGAGAGAGAAATCGAGAGCGCTCGCGACGTCTCGCGAAAGGACGCGCGAGTAAACGAGCGCGAACGAACGTGCGAGCGAGCGACACTTGCCGGTGAACGCCAAGCGGGTTTTCGCTTTCGACTGAAATCGAATGGGCTAGACCGCCCGCCTGGCCGCGACAGCCGCGTGTGGGTGCGTCGATGGGCGCACGCGTGCGTGCACGCAGCACACGCGTTCCCTCGCGATATACCGCGCGCCGCTACGCGATTAATATCGCGCGCGCGCGCCGCGCGATGCGCGGCCGATACGAGGCCTCTCCGCTGATAACGCGCGCTCGTGCGCCGCGAAACCTCCTCTTTTTTTTCGTTCGATTGCACGGGGAAAAAATAGCGTTCTACTGGTGAGAAGAGCGATCGCTCGGTTTACCTTCCTTCCTTCCTTCCTTCCTTTGAGTAATCGTTATTATTCGACAAAGAATATTGTTTTGATAATAATCTTAAGGCCGGCCTCGCCAACTCGCTCTCCGGTTAACTTGATCAATCGATTGAATTATGATAACATTAGTTGTTAGTCCACGTATGTTTTCAAAGAGGTGGATTTATAAATCCGGTTTTAAGGAATCGACGGGTGAAGTCATTTTGGCGGTTATATTAGCAAAATATATTCAAACGGTCACGTTATTTGTCCTTATTTATCTTGTACGCTCATGCGGTCGTGCGATTTTATAGAAATCAATTGACGGTAGGGATTGATCAAGACCGTTTCTCTCTCTCTCTCGTCTAAACAAACACGTATCTAAAGTAGTTGCAATCATGGCGATTGCTAAATCAGATTATAGCGTCGCCGTGTAAATATAATCTCTCTCGTGAGACGTGTGCCTGTATGCGCGGTATTCGAAAAAAATTATCCATCTTCATCTGATCGTATGTGCCGATTTCAATCGCGTACAAAAACGCGCTATCGATAGATCTGTCTTTTTTTTACCTGAACTAGGTCGCAGTTTTTGCCTTTAGAATGAAATGGGTGTGTGACCTAGCGTTCAAGGAAAAAGGAATGAAGTTCCCACGACGCATTGGTTCGACTAAAAGGAACGGGTTTGTGATATCTTTCAGTAAGCAAAATGTTTTTAGACTTTCGAATGAAAATCTCAAGAGCTACATTAATCCCCTTTCAGCTTATCGACTTAATTAGATTAGACATTATGAGTATCGTGATATAGCAGGAGATGATGTGAGAGAAACGTTCTTTTTTCTCCGTTGCTTTTGACGTTGATACTTCACGATGTTCGAAAGAGGAGGGGGAAGTGGAAGAAGGAGGAAGCGCGGTCGGTATGTAAAAGGATCGTATGTGAACTCAACTTACAAAACGCGGATGTGCAGATGAGACCGCGTGGCGATTAAGTTACGCACGTGTCACTTATCAATGACAGGTGTGACATGGATACGTATCTGCAAAAGTCACGTGCGTCGCCGCAATCACGCGGTGTCTCGTGTGATAAAACGAACGTGAGGAGAGAACGTCAGAGGAAGTTCGAGTCGGAGAATCTTTAATTTAAGATATCGCTGAGGCTGAATGAACAATTGACGGAATATTAAAAATTACTAACAGGCGCACAAAAAAGTTGGGATTTTATGAATTTACAAAAGGAATTATATTCCAAGTTAAAATCAAAATAAGCCGTAAGTTGTAGAATTTATGTCGACGCGTCCGTTAGTTAAAAAAAAAGCTCGTGTAAGTTGATGCCTTTTTTATATTCGATACTTGACAACACTTGTGTGATAAGAAGTACTTGTATACAAAAATTCCTTGGCAAAAACCCGCGTCGCTTTTTCCTCATCGAGAACATCTTTGTTTCAAACGTGAAATTTCTCACAGGTTTAAGAGCCCACACAGGCGATCATTAAAGCCGATACACCGTAATCGTCGACTACAAAGTAATCAATTAACAAATGGCAGTCGTTAATCCGATAGGCAGGAAGCAATCTGTGGAAAGCGTTAATTGAGATGAGTAAACGTAATGTCGTTGGAATTTTTTAAGAACAGACACCGCATCGTTACGTCGTCTAACTATACGATACCTGCACGCGAAACGGTGTGAATGACGCTTTAGACAACACTATAGCTATCATCCCGAGCCTGTGGAAGCAAAGGAATGCCACTCCGCGACCGACTGTGAAAGTGGTATTAATTACAGCCTTTTAATGCGTCGACATTTTTTCGCCCTGCTTTTTTTGTATCTTTTCAGGAGGGGAACACGAAGCAATCGTGTCCCGCGCGAAAATACGCTCCCGGGGAGAGTACTCGTCTCGTGTCCGCTCGACGTTGGATTTAACATTGACCGGTGTGTTAAATTGAGCTCGAAATTAGTAAATCTAACACCGAGGCCGGATTAATAAAATACAAAGTGTACACTATTTTAATATCGCGCGTCAAAAGTGGAAAGTGATCGAAATAATATCTGCCTAAAATCGCGCAAGATTTCAGCTAACACGAGGGAAGTAAAAAGTGCATCTCGAAATTACCAAAACTATGTACAGGTTTATTCGTATCGCGCGGCATAGATTTCGTAGTACTTATACTGTTTAGAAGTACAAGAGATACGAGTAATCTAGTACGGATAATTTAGTTACTGGAATAACTTGGTACAAATAACCTAGTACTAATATTATACACATATACAGTACACAGCTTAACGCAAAAAATGTTGTATTAAAAACGGTCTATTGAAATTTATATATTACTTTAACATAGGAAATATGTTAAAAGGTATAAAAGTATATATTTAAATTAATATATTCACCTTGTTAAAGTAACGAAAATTTCAATGTGTTATTTTTAACACAAGATTTTTTATTGTATAGTAACCTAGTATACTGATAGTACTTGTACACTTGATTTCAATACAGTTTGAACACTTTTTTTTAATGCAGTTTAGAACGCAGGTGATGTCCAATAAGAAAACTTGTTTTTGAATAATTGCTAGAAAATAAATTCCCCCACGGGACATCAGTTATCATTTCGAACCATATATATCAACCGAGTGTACTATTTAGGAATACAAGTAATCTATTCCTTATCCTACTGTTAAAAATACTGTATATCTTAATAAATATATTCTTTAAATATCATATTTTATACGATAGCTTAATCGGTTACTTTTTTTCATCGTTTAGATTATACTTTGTCTTCAGTTTGTCCAGATCCTCCATCTTTTTATCGACATCAATCCGTTTAAATGCCTTATTGCTCTGATAATATAGAACCACCAGATAACGATTACATACATTGAAACCACTCAAGTGATCGCATGCATTCTTTGCATCAAATATGTCTTCATACACGACAAACGCTGTGCCTCTTGTTTCAGCCGTGTTACCCCTGAAATAATAACCAAATTCGTTATATAAAATAAATTTGTTAAGAGAAATTCTTTTACTCCATTCAACTACATTGACCACATTACTTACACCCTGATTTGCCTGATAGCTCCATATTTGCCAAATATATCATACATTTCTTCAGCCGTAATTTTGTATGGCAAATTTCTTATATATAATACCCTGTTCACTTCCGGAGGAAGCCTCACCTTTAAAATATAGATTTCATTCATGTTAGAAAACAACAAAAATACAGGGAGCTATATTTTCGGTACGTGAGGTTAGGTCTCGTTAATATAACATTTATCATCGTCATAACTTATGAATTTTGCAATTTTTTCTTTACTCACATTAGCACGGCGTTGCAACATTGCCATCGTCATCTTGGCGAGAGTTTATTTTATTGATTATTTTATAAAAGAAGAGAACACTTCAGAACAACCTCGCAAACACGGAACGACAAGATGCGTGGGATGACTTCTCGCTAATGCAAGGCCAGAGCCATGGTAGCCAATCTCTTGTACTGCAAGTGACAAGCATTGAATTTTTTTACAAATAGAAATAAACTGGACAAATAACTGTCATGGACAAAATAATCGTAATTTTTACCGGCGATAGATCGTTAAATTTATCCATTATTTTTTTGATTACCACAACGCGTAGCAAACGTTTCACATTGAAGCCCGCGGCATTTTTTTCGTGTTGGATTCTAGTGAAATTTAGTGACATACTATGTGACATAGAAATGCTGTATATCATTTGGCGCGTTTCCATCCAGCAAATAATCCAGCAGGTAAAAACGCACCGTGTGCCACGGACTTTAGTTCCAAAGTCTCCGCTACGAGTCGCCACTTACCTTAACGAAGATTCGATGTGGGATCCTACGGACATCACCAATGTTTTCATACATTTCTCAATAAAAGAAATTAACGCTGTAATGAAACTAAACAATAGATCAGAAATGCCATCACTTTTTAAGTAGTATAATTCAACAGCGGGTGAGAAATCTTTTCATTTTATCAGAAAAGAAAATGGAAAGTGGCAACAGATTAATTTCCATTCTCATTCTGCAGCCGAGAGAGATTATTTTTATAAAAAAAAATTGTTAAACAGAATCGTCCAATTATCGTCATTTTTAGTTACAGCCCGACGAAGTTCTTTTTATTTCACGATGGTCACTTTCATCGTTACTACCGTTACCTTTAGTTAATTGCAAGGTCTCCGCTACGAGCCGCTGCGGTCTTCATTGAGAAACCGAGATTTATTAATGCGAAGTAAGAGCTCTTCTGATCTGACGATGACTTATACTGTTGTGAAATAAATATTCAACCAGGATAAATATCCAAGTGATTTTCGGTGAAAATACGTACATGGAGGAGCCGTAGAGCTCGAAATATGATCATGACGAGACATGGGGGATCCCGATTAGGTTAGGAATCCTATAGACAAGTATGTATATCCAATTGTCATCCACACGCCGAAATTGTATCACGAATTTGTTCCTCTGTAATTTAATATTTCGCTCGAACGGAGAATTATGTAAGTTCGGAGGACGTTAGGTCTTTTATGTATCGTCGTAACTGATCGTAACGACAATGACACAACTGAAAGTTCCAAAATCTCTCGCAGGTCCTGTCACGCTCACTCGGACAGACGAGATCTTCGTTAGATGGTGTGGCATAAGGCGGATAAAATGATGCATTACGGGCCGTGGGTTCAGCATCAAGCTATGTTGGACAATCACCAGTGTTACGCGCCGTACATCAATGTGATGCCATCCTTTCAGCATCGCAACCATGAACATCATCAACTGGCCGAGGAGGAGAACGAACAGACCGGGGACGAGACACACGATACGATGACACCTGCTACTTCTGGGGAGCGTAGTTCCAGTGCGGATCTCTTCAGATTGGAATTCGCAGCTGCTCAATGGTCCAAACTGGTCTCTAATGCGGAAGGTTTATTCACGAAGCTCATGACAAGTAACATCCTGCCGCACACGGATCAGGATCAAATTGAGCAGTGGCTGTGCATGAAGCAGGAGTACGAGGAATGTATATCTGGCGACGATACCACCAGTATACAAGGATATACAGAGAATATAAGGAGATCGTTGGAACGTATCGAGGAAGTAACGGAGACCGATGAGAAGACGGACGAGTCTGCGAATCAAATGAAACTCAAGCTCAATTCTAACTGCACCACCAGCTCCGAAAGCGAATTATCTAATGCTGACGACGACGAAGATGAGGAGGAGGAGGAGGACGAAGAAGAGGACGAAGACGAGGATGAGGAAGAGGAGGACCAGAGCGACGCGAGTTCGGAAAACCCGGACTTCCTGGAGAAACTGGACGAATGCATCGGCAAGTTCAAGATAGACACGGACAGGAGCATCGACTCGAAGAAGGACGAGTTCAGAGAAACGAACATCGAGATTGTACATCCGGCGGCGAGGTCGGTGAATAATAATTACGTGCCGATAGCGCGCTCCGTACCGGCGAGGAATCCGAATTCCCGGAGGAACTCGATGCTGCCCGGGTCCGACATGTGCAATGAAGTGCTGGTCTTCAACGACAGTCGGAAACCTTGTCAGAAGCCGATTCTCGAGAATCATCCGACGGAACGCACGAATCTGGACAATCGCGAGACGGAGGTGAACCTCAACGACAACTTCATGACGCTGCAGAACGACAATTCGCCGGATCTGCTGCTCGACGCCCTCAAGACCGCGGAGATACCCGAGCCTATTCGGGAATTGAAGGCCCTGACGATAAATAACGAGGCGAAGCAGACGCAAGTGAAGAAGATCCAGTCGGACTTGGACGGCGCGCAGAAGCGCATCGAGGAGCTGCAGACGACGATCAAGATCAAGCAACGTTTCATCGCGGACATGATGAAGAATTCGGACGCGCGCGCCAACGCGAAGCAACGGTTCCTGCGTAAGCGCAGCAAGCTCCAGGAGGAGTATTACAACACGAGGACCCAGCTGGCGCAGGCGGAGAACGCGTCCACGTACAAGGACTCGGAGGAGAAGTCGGCGCACAAGAAGGAGATCGAGCTGTACAAAAACATGGCGATACACTACGAGAAGCGTCTGATGGACATCGACATGATCAAGCAGATCGCGGGCGACTCCGCGAAGAAGGTCCTCGAGCTGGAGGGCTCGCTGAACACGTCGAAGAAGCAAATGGACAAGCTGAAGCGGCAACTGAAGAAGGAGGAGGAACGGAAGAAGCAGCTGGAGCAGGAGCTCGCGAAGGACCAGCAGAAGATCCGCGAGCTCGAGGAGAAGTACAATCTGACCGCTTCCAAGCTGAAGGAGATGCAGTCGGAGAGCGAGGACGAGAAGCAGCAGAGCGCGAAGTCGAAGAGCGCCGACAAGAAGAAGAACCTGCTGGACGTCAGCGCGAGAATATCTCATCTCGACCACGTCCTGAAGGAGAAGTCCATGGACCTGGAGAGAACCGCGGACACGGACGAGAAGGAGGCGCTGCGGCACGAGATCAGGAACCTGAGGCGCACGCGGGAATGCCTGGTGGACGAGAAATGCGACCTGGACGAGAAGCTGCAGAAGGAGCGGACTTTGACCACGGTGGAGGAGCGTAAGCTGCTGGAGTGCGGGGAGACGATCGAGGCGATCGACGCGATGATCGAGCATAAGAACGAGATGATCTGCGGCAGGAAGGACTTCTTCAGCGAGAACCAGTCTCAGCGCGAGAAGGGCGAGCGGGTGCTGATGGAGAGGCTGAAGAAGCTCTCCCACGGCGAGATAATAACGCTCTTCGTCAAGTACTTCCACAAGGTGATCGACCTGAAGGAGAGCTCGAAGAACTTGGAGGTGCAGATCACGGAGCTGGAGGCTCGCATCGCCAGCCAGGACTGGGAGATGGGGACGCAGCAGATGGAGGCCAAGAGGAGGATCGTGCTGCTGCAGAGGCAGTACGAAGAGAAGCTGCACCATATGCTCAAGTACTTGGCCGAGGAGACCGGCAGCTCCGGCCATGAGCGATTCGACAAGGACTCCGAGCTCGTCAAGTACAAAAGGGAGAACAGGGCGCTGAAGAAGCGCCTGGCGGACGTGGAGGTGCTGCTCAAGGGCACACCGCCGCGAACAGCCAGTCCCTGTAGGATCCCGCAGCAAGGGCTGAAGCAGATCGCGCCCAACACCCGCTCGACCACCAAAGTGACGAGGCAGCGGAACAAGCTGATCATCCAGAAGACCACCGACTGCGACAAGAGGAAGAAGTGAGCGAGCTCGTCGGGAAGCGTCTCCGGTTTCTTGTCCATCGTGTCGTCTATCGTTTCTCTTCTATGGTGTCTCTTCTTCGCGAGCCCGACCCGACGCCCACCTCCTCGCACACGCCCCTCTCACGTACCGTCACATTTTCGCCGCCTCGTTACCTCGAGAAGGTATCGCGAGTAAATTACACGGTGAAAAACACTGAACGTTTCAAACGAAACAATATTCAATTCAAATCCAACACATTTCACACACGTCCCGAACGGTCCACGCGAATTTTTCTGTCGACTTAACACGGAGAGAACACGTTGAGAAGTAACACGAATATCACACGGTCCACGCAAAATGTTGAGATTACGTAAACGCAATATGTTAAATTAATACACGGGGTGTGTTGAGAACTTAACGCAGGAATTTTAACAAGGACCGATCTTAACACAAGTACAAAATGTTTCCTTACTGTGTAGGTATCGACAGATTGTACGGAATTTATTCTCGATCGCCGACCCGATCAGAATAATTCCCGTGGGCCTGTACGATTCACCATGCAGGATATCAGTTCCATCGCGCGAGTCAGTCATCCTTTCCGTGTTTTTGAAGAGTGTACATCGCCGTGAGAATGCACTCATGCTCGATGTGTTAGATGTTCGTTCGCGAGACAAGCGAGACGACGCGACAACTGTAACCCGACGAGAGACGCGCGAGTAGGAATCCACCGCATGCTAGTAATGTCGTTGTATTTATTACACAGGGCGCATAGTCATAGTACCGAGCTCGTAATTTAATCTCTCTTTCTCTCTCTCTCTCTCTCTCTCTCTCTAGGCACAATATAACCGCCAATTGTAATATCCTGAATCTCACTCGAGAGCGTACTACTTGCATGCTGTCCTCGTAAATCCAATGTTAATTCAATTCAGCGTTCTAAGTGTCGCGTCGACGACGTAGCTAGATACGGTCGCTTCTGATTCCGATTTTCGCGGCGACAAGCAAACAGAAAGTCAAAAAGAAAGCTCAGAGGCTCTCGCGAGCCTTATGTACAGCGATGCTCAATTACACATACGTTAAGTGATCGATAACCGAATTAATTTCAGGCCTCGAGCGACCGTTCACGAACGATGGATGTTAGTCCGGAGAAACCGGGATGTTGCGCTTGAAACGAAAGTACCGTCGACAATTTAATTACTATTAACGATTGAGTCCGAGGACAGGGTTTCCTAAGCCTATGTGAACCCACGACCCACCAGCTTTAGTAGATATNAAAAAGCGGGGGGGGGGGGGGGTGAGGGTGAATTGATTATTTATTTATACAACTTTATTTATACTTACTTTACTGCTGCTCTTTACTTTTTAATTGTTTATTGAATATAATCTTATAAGTCTATTTATTTTTATATATATATATATATATATATATATGTGATATAAGTAAAAAACGTGTTTCGTTTCCTATTTATGACAGCTTAGAGAAAAAGCTTGAAAATTTGTAAAACCACAGTAAGTAACGAAGTGTAATTTAACATTCTACAATTTCTCGCGAACCACTAGTGGATCGTGATCCATATTTTGGGAATCCCTGGTCTAGGCCGGTTAGAATTGGACCTTCGCTCGGCCGTTGTACTCCCCGGACACGGCCGTTGTTGATGCAATACGCATAATAATTCTGCCGCACGCAGTTACTGCTCATACGTCGTCGCTATTGGTTATTATTAAATATGCGTGTCCATGTACGTCGCTAAAGAAACATTCGATGGATACTGATCTCCGGTATTATTACTTTATTATTATTATTATTATTATTATTAACATCGTTTCGCGCGTAGAAAGTAGCGTCGATTGATCCGTAGCATGTGAAGAGCCAATCGCCGTGACTTCAATTTGATCGAGATCGTATCGATCCACTCTTCCAACGTAATTTATTGTAATTTTGTAAATAAATCGATATCACACGTTACACGCGAATGCTGTCTCTCTTGTTTTCCGTAACAGCTGATTCTTCCCCGAGCGGATCCGAGTGCTAGACGGAGAAAACAACTCCGTCAGCGTAACTGAATTCTCCATTGCCCAGGGACTAGAACTCGGTTGTAGGAACGGAAAGATTCTTGTAGGAGATTTCTATTCGGTCAATTGCTCTCAGTTGCTTCAACCGAGTTTAATACAGCTGAATGTCCGCACGAATGTTCTCAGTCGCGATAACGGAAACGTCATTTCTCGTCTTCTAGTTTGACAAAATTAAAAAACAAAATAATACGACATAAGTATTCTGCAATTGTTAACGATAATGTCGTTAAAAGTTACACAATATAATCACTAGGACCTTAATTCCGCCAATCTTATACTTTCGTGCAGGAACGAAGGTCTTTTCCGCGTAAAAAGAAAAAAAAAAACGCCAGAGCCATCGAGTGATCTACAGTCGAAGAGATATCTCTTGGGTTTTAGGCGGCCGGTATTCACTGGCGATTCTATATGGAGCGTTTCACTCTTACGTCGTTATCGAAATTGATGCGGGTGGTGAGGCCAGCACGGGGCTCCGCAAATGGGCCCCCGATGGCATCGATGTCCACTAAGGGTGACAAATCGTACGATCGTGTTACCGCGCCCGCTATACCGCGTTATCGGAACGCGGAGCGTCGTTCCAAATTTGCCCGTTAAGTGGCGAAAAGTATCATACCTTCACGGTACGATACTCGCGAATTGAAGACGCGCGTAATCTCTCGATGCGTTTCGCACTCGATCGAACGTCCCGAAACCAGTTGTAGCGTCCAGGTACCACGGTGCACCGTTACCATGCTCGGTACCGCGTGACAACGGAATGATCTAGATTTTCGGTGAGAAACAAAAGCAGCGTTCTCTCGGCTGCAGAAACGCTTATGGGGGCTAAGGTTGATCTCAATTTTCACTGACCTTTCGACCCTTCATAACCCTCCGGTCGAATCCGGCAATATATATATAACTGAAATTTGGTTATCAGACCTGGTTTTTAGCTATCAGAGTTAAAAACTAGATGCAGCGACAAGAAATTAGTTTAATTAAATTTCAATTCTACCGTGTGGTCAGCTAATTTTTAGTTCTTTTCTTCCAATACGAATAGCACACTAAGCAAATACCGTTTACATCCTATAATTCAAATAGAAGCTGATAAGAATAAGAATCTTATAAATACTAATACCTAATTACTTATGTACGAGCATCCGTAATATATTGTAAGGTGAAGATCGAATGGTACTTCTCGATATCGATTCGTTCGGAGCGTGTTTTTAAGTTCACCGCGAGTCAACGATTTCTAGAATCGCAGTCAATTACTGCCTCCGCAATTTATGCGAGACGCTCTTCGCGGCTCTTGTAGGATCTAAGTGCCGCGATGAAGATGAAGCAGCCTCGGTGGCCGCCGATCTTGTTCCCGGGCGCGCCTCAATATCGATCGTTAAAACGAGCACCGTCATTTTAACGGACGACACTTATTGCAACAGTTCGTGCGCGGCGATTAAATCTCACCCGCGGGTTTCATCTCGACGCATTTGTATAATAACGCGCCGAGTGGCGTCAGTTAAAAAGTCCCGTTAAAGGCAAACGACGCGTTGATCATCGGCGTTTACCGTAAAAGATCGATACAATTCGGCAAGGGCGAGGGGGAGAGGAAGAGAGAGAGAGAGAGAGAGAGGGGGGCCGCTTTAAGCGATCGAATTTTGCTGTTAAACGCGCTCGTATAATTTTTTCGGGCTTATGCGCAGGGGCGAACGACGAGAAACCCAGCGTTACGATAAACGACGTCCCGCCCTCGATAATCTCACCGAAGCGAAGAAAAACAAAGAGAATCAACTTCGGAGCGAGAGGAAGTACCGAGCGAGCGCTGAAAGAAAATATCCCTTAAGAAGACGGTGGGAATTCTAATCAATTTTTTTTTCACTTCTCTCCGGGATCTTTCCTCTCCCTCTCTCTCTATCTTCTTCTCTCTTCCTGCCGACAAATTAAAAATTTCGGCCACCGTGATTTTTCAACGGCGGTCCGACCCTGCCGACGCGACATCACTCCTCCGCGCGGTCCTCTCCTCGTTTGTGGGCATGCGGCTCGAAATAAGTTGTTATCTCCCAAGGCGCGAGTGACCGGCGGGGTATTAAGTGGCCCTACGGAGGGAGGCCGCCGGAGATATTTCGTAATGTGAAGAGGGAGAGGCGCGCACGGCGGGCAGATAATTCGATCATTAAGAAGCCCGTGACAGAGCGCGTCTCGCCGGCGTGCGAAGTACCCGTCATTACCCGTGTCCTACCGCATCAATATCCCGCGAGGTTACCAATCTCTCTCTCTCTCTCTCTCTTCCTCCCTCTCTCTCATTTTCTCTCGGCTCGGTCCGATGCAAGTACTCCGCGCGCAGCGATCGGTCCTACGCTTCGATCCGACACGCGATAAAATTTTCAATTAACGATTATCGCGTCGCCCCGTGTAATCGGATAACGCCACGGTGTTTTCGCACTGGCTACGTGACCCTAATAATTTATCCATCTGCCTAAAGTCTTCATTACGTCGCTCTTCGAGTTGCACGGGTAGAGGAAAAGCATCGAAACTGACGTACGACTTCGTCCGCTGCGCACAGCAGTTGGAGCTGAAGTGGCAGTTTTCCGCTTGCAAGCGCGTTCGGCCGTGTTGTCAGTATCGTTCGATTTTTCGTCGCGCCGAGATTTCGTTCAGATTCCTTCCGGTGAAAATTCAAGTAACTAATCAACGGTAATGTGACAGGTTTTAACCGAACACACATGAATTTTTCTGTACGCATTTTTCTAACTTTCGAACAAAAAAAAAACCCCCCTAAAAAATCCGCGGAAAAATTAAGAAAACCCAATTTCTTTTTAACTATAACGGTATGCCGGTTTTAGTGTTTTCCTTTCCCGCATCTCGCAACGTTTACTTCGTCAACATAGTTGAACCGAGCGTGCGTGCGTGCGCTCGCTACGCTCTACACTGAATAAAAATTCCCTCGGCTTCATTTCCGCCCTCCTCCCGCCCACTGCGTCGTTTTTATCCGATGAGCACGAAGGGCCCGAATTCGGTCGGCGTTCGATAAATAAAAGCCTCCACATAATCCTTACATTATGGCGAGACCGAAAGAGACGCCCGGCGGCTTTACGCTCGCGCAACTTCTTCGTCCTTTTATCAGTGGCCGCGGTCGCAAAGTTCTGATCCGCCGATAAATTTGTGATTTAACGACTGTGTGACCGGTTGCTGTGTCAATTAAATGATCCCAACGCAGCCGCCAAGTGTATTCCTTATTGCGCTTACTCTCTTATCTGCTGCGCTGATATTCGGCGAAAATCGTGCTCGATACGCGTGCCCGCGATGATTCAAGATTAAGTCTACGAATCAAACGACGCTGTCGACGGGAGAATGTGGCGGGCTACTGAGAGCAGATACTGAGGACAAGAAAATAAGGAAGGACACGGGGCTCGATTAATTGAATGTACACGAGGGTACACGGTTTCTTAAGTAATTGTCGGGAATCGCGCAGCCATTACGCGGCCGTTCATTCATGCCTCTACTCGTTATCAGCGCGATTTTTACAAAATTGCATTAAGCATGTAGGTAACAAGTGTCCTCTTTAGCTAAAAGCCGGCCGGTCGTCCCGGTGTGAAAAATGTTTCGCGGAAGAGACGGCGTTAAATGAGTTTCAAGAAAAATGGACGAGAGCCTGGAAGCGAAATTTGAAATAAGTGAGAAAATTGACGTGCGCGATTCTCGCGCACGAACGAATCGAGACTCTTGAATTTGTTGTTCAGCATTTCCCTCCCTCTCTTTCTCTCCATTTTTCTCTCGTGTCTCGGCACCGATGTCAAACATGACATTTGCCTGAACGATCGTCAAACAGTTATTTCCTCGGATGCGTTCACGCAAGCTGGAGGTAATCGCGAGAAGAAACTCAACGACTGCGATTGATAGACCCGACCGGATTCCCCTCTTTCCGTCCGTTAATTACAATCTTAACGCGATATCATTGTGACAAGTCGGAATGTAAATTCTAGTTCCGTGACAAACCGACACGCCGGCGGAATTCTGTAAATCCGTCCGAGCAACGTCAGAGAGAGAGAGAGAGAGGGCGGGGGAGGGGGGGAGGGGGAGAGAGAGGCACGATTTAATACCGTGCGCGATTTACAATTCAAAACACTGGAATATTTCCCGAGTAACGACGATACTTGCCGTGGTGGACGACATGAGTCCAACACGAATTCATTCGCAGACATAACGGCGTATCGTCTCGTCGAAAACTTGAAAACTCGCTAATATTATCTTCTTCTAACCGTCAGCAATAACACCCAGCGTTTTATATTCAGTCATAATAATTTTATATGCAGTCATTTAAAGTATTAACAATCATCATAATAATTGTTAGAATTGCATGACACAGATAAATCATCATAAAAAGGATATACAAGAAAAAAAAAATTTTCGTAGCTTTTCGTCCGTTTCTTCGGACTCGTGGTTAGAAAAAAAAAATCGTCACCTATATATTTGACACAGAAAGAATTTGTAGTTATAATTTTATAGTTAAAATGAAAGAAACATATCGATATTCTGCCTTTATTTATTATGCTTTTATGTCATGTGTGCTATTTATATTTTAAGGAAACTGAAGTCTAAACAATGTTATTTTAATACACTGGAATCGTTAATTAAAAAAATTTACTAAATTTTCTAAACGTTTATACTACATATTTCTTAGTAAGAAACTCTATTGATATTCCTGGGCTATTAAATAATGCAGTAAAATAGAATGTACATATATGAGAGAAAAAAGTAATATTATATATAATATTCTCTCCATGTATTTTTGCGCAAAATAAGAGAGCTAAATAAATAATAATTAACTAGAACGTATAACTCGCACAATACATATAAAATTACTTATCATTTTATCTTATATTCAAATAACACCCAGCGTTTTATATTCAGTCATAATAATTTTATATGCAGTCATTTAAAGTATTAACAATCATCATAATAATTGTTAGAATTGCATGACACAGATAAATCATCATAAAAAGGATATACAAGAAAAAAAAATTTTCGTAGCTCGACGCGGAAGAAAATTGCTCGTGGTGGGATTCGAACCGTCGACGTTCGCATGTACGTTTTACGGTGCGCCTAGCACTTTGATCACATATTTATTGAATATCGTCTAAAAAAATAACAGTTGCAACGTTCGTCGAAGCAAAAGATTTGTCAGAAGTGGGATTCGAACCCACGCCCTCAGAGAGGACCAGAAAGCTCCGTACTCGGTCTTAAACCGAGAAGGTATGAACCTTGAGTCTGGCGCCTTAGACCGCTCGGCCATCCTGACAGTTGAGTTCGACTGTTTTAATAACGCAACATAGAGTACGCGACATGTAAAGTACCATTAAGATATATTTAATACGCATATTACGCAAGTTTTTAACATTTTTAACAAAAATTTTTCTAAAACAATTTTTTAAGATATTTGTAATGACATTGATAACAAATTCTACATTAAATAGACGGAAATAAATATTGCGATATTTTTCACGAGTTTTCCAGTAAGTTTTCCTCTCAGGAAAATAAAAAAAATATGAGATAAAAAAAGTGATCGTATGTACGAAACTTGAAATAAACTCGATTGTATTTATGCTGTGAGCTAACACATGCACCTTTCCGTTTTATTATATAATTAGTAGCGCGACAATGCCAAAAGAATTTGTCAGAAGTGGGATTCGAACCCACGCCCTCAGAGAGGACCAGAAAGCCCGGAAAAGCTCGGTTTTGAACCGAGAAGGTATGTACCTTGAGTCTGGCGCCTTAGACCGCTCGGCCATCCTGACAGTTGAAATCGTTCTCTCTAAAATCGTCTCATCGTAATGACAAGTACGTGAACACTTGCAATATACATATATATATATATATATATATATATATATATATTGCAAATATTATACATATATATACATATATATATATATATATATTCTTCTATTCGATATAAACATTTCTCTATTTTCATTAATTACGTTATCTTTTGCAACTTTTCAGAAAAATGTAAATCCGATTTGATAATTTTGTAATAATGCGCAAATATAATCAGATAATAAATTCTATGATAAATTTTAAATTTTATAATAAAAAAACATACTTTTATATTAAGTAGCAAAAAAAAGAGATGTTTCCGCCCGGGATCGAACCGGGGACCTTGTGCGTGTGAAGCACACGTGATAACCACTACACTACGGAAACCCGTTGGCAAACCTGCTCACGAAACTCATCACAAGTCTCGTAGTACGATTTCTAACAATTTTATACGTTATGTTTCAAACAAATATATTGCACGGGATACGTATTTCTATATTTCTAAATACTTAAAACAATAAGAGGGATTTAATAAAATCATTATTTGAAATGTATCATAATAATCATAAATTACGTAATATTGTAAATCCGTACAAATATATACATATATCTTGTTGCAACGCGCCTTCATTGTTAAGAATAAAAAAGAATATAACAAACTGGAAAAGAGAAAATCTACTGGAAAAGAGAATACGATAGTTTAAATAAACCCATACATAGTTGTTACATTTACTGCTAAATATTGCTGCAATTACTTGCAGAGATTTTATCGGATATTATTGTAGCAGGTTTACATGTGTGTGTGTGTGAATATTTTACAATTCGAGATATTTATTATAATCGATAGATAAGAGTCCAACATGTCATTGGACACTATGCCGGATTACACATAGTTCAGCATTATTAATGCAAAAGATTCCAAGATCCGGTATGGTCTAGTGGCTAGGATACCTGGCTCTCACCCAGGAGGCTCGGGTTCGATTCCCGGTACCGGAATTTTTTGCATTTTTTTTTTCTTTTCTTCTCTGCCACATATACTGTAAGATCAATTATATCGCGCTCTATTTTGTATAAAAATTTACAACAAACATAACTGCAAAGAATTCCATCTTGCATGGTAAAAGATGTGTTAAATTTAACATATTTCATGTGCCCCAAACGATCCACTCAAATACTTGTGTTAATTTAACACGATGAACAAGATGAATATGTTGAAACGTAACAGAAATATTACATCAAAAACTAACAGAATAGAAGATATAGATTAGGCTCTTGGGATATACAATCCTTGAGTAAATGAAAAGTGGGGCCGATAAAAGGCGACGAAGCTAATTGTTGGTTGCGAGGAAAGAAAAAGAAAAATTACGTAACTTGGAAGATGAAGTAATTCGGTCATAGTTTCCGACCTAGTCAGTCGTTCACACGAGGGAGGGTAGGACATTTCGACCGAAATGTTTAATTACACCACTTCCAAGTTAAGCAATTTTCTCTTACTTTCTCTGCAACCAACAACCAGTTCTTAGCTCTTATTTGCCCCGCTTTTCATTTATTCAAAACTTAACGCAAAATTAATACGTCAGTCGACATTGAGACATATCAAATGTATTATCTTAACATACACACATACCGAACATCGACATAACACAAAATGTAGAGATGACAAAAACACAAAACGTTAGATTAACACATGGGTATGTTGAAAATTTAACACAACAAATGTTAACAAACCGATTTCAACAACAAGTACAAAATGTCTTCTACCACACGCGAGACGTAAATCATAGCCACTCGAAGTCGCAGAAACCCGCAGCAATTTGCCTCTCGTTCTCGCAACGCTGTGAGATTGCCGGTGAAACGTGATGTCGCAAGGCGAATGCAAGACGACTGACAAAATGTTATGGCAACGGTGGAATCATCCTGCGACGAAACTCACGTTGATGCCGTTCGAGGCGGTCATTTCTCTAAGTGGAAAACGACAGTCCGTTTCGGACGCACGTCAATCTCGCTTGCTGCAAATCGTTCCTCCTATTGTCTTCTCTTATCGCGATAAACGAACAGTTCGTCGCGAACGGAGTACGTTGCACTCGTCCGATTCCTCGGCGAGACGTCGAAAGGCGAGTCGCGCGCGCGGCTTGTGCGTGTCTCGCCGTGCAATTACCGTCACTCTCATGGATTATCATCGGAGAGACGAACGAGGGAGAGGACACACTTGTTCGCTGAGTCTATAATTCGGAAAACGACAGAGCAATCGCGCGATTCGGTTTATCACAGGCAATCTTACGCGGGGCGGACGAGAGGGGGGAGGGCGACGCGGATATCCGAACGAGCCTCGATAACGCGCAACGAGCGTACTCCCATGCATGCGCCGCGATACGAGGAATCGCACCCACGCGACGCAGGTGAGCCTCGTACACCTTAGCGCGAGCCCTTGATCGCTGCCGCAGTCACGAATCGAAGTCGCGCAGGAATGCCACGAAGGACGGCCGGCGGCTGCCTCGACAACTTCCGGAAGTTGAGCACCTTGCACACGACTTACCTCAAGTGAGCAAACCGTGGTGCATTATCGCCACGTTATGCAGCTCGATTAATTATCCACCCGGGATTTGTCATCAGTCACGTTACCTCGCGCGCGCGCGCGCGTCTTTTTTGAAAACGTCAATGGAATCGCTATATTCGATCTTATTGCGCTCCGAGTTTCATCGACGACGAGAAATTCTTTTGTGTTGTGTTTGCGAGGAGATTCTCTTTCTTACGTTAGGTTGTGATGCAAGAATTCGTCCCGTTTTTTAATCAGTTTTCCGCTCAGGAAAGAAAGAACCCAGAATTTCTACACGAAGAAAATCTCCTAATCAAAATTGCACGAAACTTATTATATTATGAATTGTATAATTAATATTGTTATACTTATATTATTATATTTTTTTGTATTCTTATATAATAATATAAGTATAACAATATTAATAAAACCAAATGGTTTTAGACATCTATTGTGGATCTAAATATATTATTTCGGAGAGAATCTTCCTACAGCATTTTATAATTTGCACAGATATGTCGGCTTATGGGCTCCCGACTCGCACTCGTCCGCATTGTCGAGATGCATGTACTTCGTGTACAACAAAGCTATCTTAACGATCATGTTCCTCTTCTCGATTACTTTGTTCGCCGACATTTGCTCGAGCTTCGACGACCTCTCGATCGTCACCGACGACGGTTGCGTCTTCGCCGGGATCACCGTCGTGCTCTTCAAAGTGATGATCTTTCAGTTTCGCCGTGAGAAGATCGCACGACTGCTCCGCGAGACCATCAACAGTTGCCGCCGACTTTGCGAGTTTCCCAGTAAGTAATCCCGCTGAGATTCGCGCGAAGAGCACTCGGTTGTGCGACGCGAAAATTCAAGAATTGTAAGCTCGTTATCAGTCGAAACTTTCCGGCCGTTTTTGTGCTCGTCTTCAGTGGAAGTTATTAATGTTGAACGAATTATCGGTTAACCGAATTAACGGAGGAGCCCTGGTGGTTTGTGCAAACAGACGACAGTAGCTTTGCACCATGGAACGAGGTTACGTTAGAAAAAAAAATAGTTTACCGAAAACGAATGCCCGGAAGATCTCCACAATCGACCAAATTCATACGCGCGCATCGCAACCACAAAGATAAACAATTCTGCATACGATCTCAGCGTGTGCGGCAAATCTGATCTGTGCGAACAGAAGATAGTACGATTATACCTCGCCGAATGCCCCAGAGTAGGACAAAAAAAATAGTTGATCATTCGCTAAACCAACCGGAAGCTCGAAACTGATTTTTAGTACGCGATTTATTCACATCGTTAATCATTCACGATGAGCACTCGTTTTATTCTGTATCTACGGCCGATCTCCGGGACTACGAAATTATCGCGATCCGCGAAAGAGTCTGACGTGTTTTTAGCGCCGAGTCATATCAATGGTATCCGTTAAACGAGCACGACGACAGGATGGCGTAATTTCGCGTTCCTGACGAGAAGCCTCGGCGCGTCGAGAGAGCGACGTCGCGAAGGGCCATCGTGGCGTCGGCCACCCCGGCCGGTGTTAATTCAGGCCCACTTGGCTGATTTTTCCCTCTCTCTTTCTCCTCTCTTCTCCTGCCAGTCCCTATTCGCGACGTATCTCCTTGACACGCGATTAAGGATCCACGGCTCATTCATACGGAATTACTCGGCAGTTTTCGCAATCACCGGCCGGACACCACGCGCGCATCCGCGGCGACACGTGACGTTACCTGCAGACTGTATATCAAGTTTCACTGATTCTAATATCGCGCATCGCGATGCCGAAGGACGCGCGCAAAATACACACCGGCGTTATTGACCGACGTGTGTACTTTCCCCTCGAATCCTCGTCTCCTCGAAGATCGTACCCGACCTCGGCGTCTCCCTCTCTCTCTCTGTCGCGCTAACGGTTCACGTGAAGATCCGAGAATCGAGGAAGCTTTCGAAGGACAGCCGGTAATGTTACTTTTCACGACCTATGAGATCGCTCGAAAGATCAAAGAGCTGCTTTTTCCTTCGGCAAAACAGTTACACAAAGTATTTCGTCGCGTTAAACGCGACTTAATGATTCGAGCCGAGCGAGATGCACGATTGCTGATCGTTCTTAGCTGGCGACGAAGACGAGATCTTGGCCAAGTACCTGCTGATCTGCCGCGCGAGTTTCTACGGATTCGGCACACTGGGCTTCTTCCTGGTGGTCGCCCTGCTGTTCCTCGCACCGGTGGAGGAGGGCGGGCTGCCGATCAGGGCGCGGTATCCTTTCGACACGAGCAGCCAACCGGGGCATGGAGTCGGCTACTTCGTGGAGGCCTGCAGCGTCTCCGTCGGCATTACCGCCATCATCGGGATAGACAGTCTGCTTACCAACTTGAGCAACCTGTTTCTCGTGCAACTCAAGATCCTGAACGTGCATTTTAGGAAGTGCGGCGGCCGACACGACGCGCGAGATCATCTAGGCGGAGATTCTCGCAGTGCGATATCCCCGACCGCCGGCTTCGGAAAAGATAATTACGACCCGGACGCGATTCACGGCGGCGGTTTCGCCGTGCGACTGCGGAGGTCCGTCCGCGGTCATCAACGTCTGCTCGCCATAATGGACGACTTCAACGAGGTGTTCAGCGCCGGCATGTTCGTTCAGATGCTCTCGAGCACCTCGATGATTTGCCTAACCGGCTTCCAAGCCACTTTGGTGAGTCGTGATAAGTCAAAGTGCCGCGGTCAGATCGTGATCGAGTCCCGCTTTGTTTCCGCGCAGGTCATAGGCCACAGCTCTAACACCTGCAAGTTCGCGATTTATCTGGCGGCCGCCTTATCGCAGCTCTTCTATTTCTGCTTGATAGGCAACGAGGTGATACACCAGGTTAGTGCCGACTTTATCTTCGAATCACGCTTATCTAAGTAAATCCGATAATTAAGCAGATCTTGTATATATATATATATACAATTGCAACGAACTGGACCAGTAAGGGCCGACGCGGGTAATTAATTATGAAAAAATGTGTTGTTGTTACGGGAAGTTTTTTCCATAATTAATTATCCACGTGGCTTTCTCTCTGTTTGCCTCTCTCTCTCTCTCTCTCTCCCTCGCGTTGGCCCAGATTTTTATCATTCTGATGTCTCCCCTTCTTTTTGATCTTTTATGCTCGCTGTCAACGCGCCGACATGTCAATGCGAAAGTCGATCGACAAGAGAGGTCGGTCGACGAGAAATACATTTTTGCGACGCGAAGGAGTTGCAATCCGCGAGGAATCAACGGCCGTGTATAATTAACTCGCGAGCGCGCGATATCATAATATATAATCAACGATGCGACTTTCACACGACGTGTTCGCGATGTTACAGAGCGCGTGTCTGACGCAGAGCCAGTGGCTGTCGGAATGGGACGAGAAGCTTACCGCGAAGACCGGTCGTTTGCTAATCTTGTCCATGTTATTTTCAAGAAGAACGTTGAATCTGAAGGCAGGTGTGTTCTACTCGCTGTCCATGGAGACGTTCACCGCGGTGAGTGCACGCTGAAAGGTCCGCGCGACGTTATTGGCAGGCATCGCGGCTGATTTAGCGGTAATTAAACGGAATTAAAGTCAGCCGGTCGCTCCGGGCGAGATTGAATTTACCTCGCGAGCATCCCTCGCTCGCGACTCGTCTCCCGTTCATCGAAAGTATGATTTACGCGTTTTCCATAAACCCGCACTGGCCAGCCGGAACTGCGTCGGGACGAGTTATCGCGTGGATCTGCGGTCCATCGGGTATTTATTTAATTCTTTCAGTATTTCTTTCTTTTTTATTATCCTCTCGAGAGCCCGGTCGCGCGTAACGTACGTACGCGTGTCGATGCGGCTCTTCGTCGCCCGCGGCGAGCCGATTATGCCGATACGAAGGCACGATCGTAGACGAAAAGAATGAAGGAGCGACGAGCACGTTCGAATAATATTCCGTAAGAATCTCGAAAGAACGGAGGGAGAACAAGACGTGCGTACACCTCCCGTACTCGCGGGGAGGCGAGCAGCGTCTCCGCCCACTGCGACCAACAATCGTGTATTAAATCGATGCACTCGCGCGATCGTCCGTTGCAACAAAGTGCCTAAGGACGGCACCGAAGGTCTCAATGATCGAACCGCCGCGTCGTCGAACCGTATTCGCGTGGATCGCTCGTATCTATTCGGATCCATTCAGCCCTCGTACGACCCACCGTCAAGTTTCGTATTAGTCTAGACTGAGGAAAAGGTTTCTTCGGATTTAGCACACGTGTTTGTTTCACTCGGGCTTGTTTAACAACATAATTTAACGTCAATATAATTTTATTCGAATGAAAATTCTGTCGTTTCATTAAAGCAAATCGTGTTGTTTGATAAAAGAAAAAAAAAGAACAGTATTATTTAGAAGAAATAATGTTGTTTTCAAAAGAAAAAAATTTATTTATTATTTATTCCGTAATCCTCCAGTCTCCAATACTTAATCTTAATCGTACGAGCCTTACGGCGATCGGTTTTAGAAGCTCGACGAATAACGCTGCGCGATCGATCGCTGTGCTACGAACGGTCGTCCGCGCATGAAACTTACCGCGACGCGTTCCTTCGCCTCTTTCGGCGCGCGTACGACGCCGGCCGAGTCGTTCGCGCGCGCCGTTCGTCATCCGCGATTGCATCACGAGAGCGGTCACGCGGAAAATATCGATGGTTTATCGGAGTGTCATCGGGGATTTTTCGTAGATCATACGGGGCTCGTACTCCTTCTTCGCTCTGCTGAACACCATACAGTCGGAAGGCGACCAGTGAATCCGGCAACCCCTTAGTTAACGCAACCGTAGCCGCGCAACCACGAGAGGTCGAATTCGTCCTTGCCAGCTGCGAGTTTAGAGCTGCACGACCGGCAAACCGGCTGTAAGCTGCGTGGCATCGCCGGATAAAACCGGGGCACTCCGCCGCGAAGTCCGTGCAAAATGTAAAGCGGCTGTTGTTGGACTTGCTCAAACAAATAAACTCGTTGGAACATCAGGAACGTCGACCACCGACGGCAAGAGATCCGCAGGATAAGCCCGATGATTAGAAATGCTTATCTCGAAATACTCCAAGTTTTTACTCGAATATCCGTTTAAATTCCGATATAAAAATATCAACTAGGAAACGCATGAATGGAGAATCGAATAAATATTTTTCAACTGGCGAATTCAATTCCATTGAATATTTGTAGAAAAGCGTATATTTTAGAATAAGAACATCAATATATATGCTGAGTTCCGATATCCCCATGTCCTGAGGATATTCCCGGAACGTCTTTTGGAAGTTGTGCTCTCTGGGTCTTCATTGTGCTAAACACCAAAGTATCGTAACAAAGGTTTTTCAGGTTTTTATTAAAAATGAGGATCATGCGATATTTTATTCGACATGTTGACTGTTAATTCAATGTCGACATAAGGTACTTCGAAAATTGACAAATATATTCAATCGCGATCATTTTTTTATATCGACGTCTCTACCGCCGATGCAAAAGAACGGCGCTTCTCTTTCGCTCACGTTAGGAATTTCAGCGCGTAAAATTTAGCGGAAATCCCGATAGTCAGCTGCAAGTCGCTGAATCTTAACGAGTATAAACGCCCAGAGCAGCGGTTAGTCTTACTTCCGCGATTCGAGCGAATTAAGCGGCGTGTCGTTCCGCGATCGAGAGGCTGATTTATTAAAAGTAATCTCCCTATCGACGTGAAATTAAGCAATTTCGCGCTTCGTGACGCAACAATATGGCGAATCGAAGGAGGAAGCGTGCCGTTGGCGCACCTAGACCCGCGATTTACCGCGCTGCTAATCGACTTTGCAACATTCTTAATTGTGTATTAACGTTATCGGCCGTGTAAATATTAACCGAACGAATCGCCGAGCGTCGGCCTCGGAGGAGAGAATTCGCGCATCGAGCATCTCGTTCTCCGGCCGGCCAATGCTAGAATCACCATAAGCTTGTCCAAGGAACAGGTTGGCGACGGCTTTTACGATTATGGGTCCGCCGAAAAACAGGATTCCTATTCCCGGGCCGCTTGCAGCGCGCGGCTCGACTCGACTCGCGGCTGGACTCAATTACAATCGCCGGATTTGACCGCCGGCTGCCACATCGGCGTGAAATATCGGACTGATAGCGATCGAGATGCGTATGGTACGCATTGCTCGTACGGTGCACGCCGGCACATCGGCCATACATTTCGCGCCGTTCGGTCTCGGCGGGGCACAGGAAGCGATCGCTCCCATTTTTCTCGTAATTATCTCGCGACAGATCGCGAGGCGCGCGTGTCGAGGTCTTCGGACGATTTGTACATCCATTATTTCTTCATCCTTCCAGGGAGAAATGACCCGTTTGAACCTTCTCCGAAGCAACCGATCGTCCCCGTTCGGACGAGCCGGAGGGATAACGTCTCGTCTTCGATAAGCAAGTCAGCGGCAACCGCATGCAATATATATTTCCCTATGTACATATTTATCATAGTATTTTTCCATGCGTATATCGTTCCGCAAAATGGATTTATATACTGAAAAACCTGCACTATTTCAGAATATTTTCATTTTACGAAAATATTCAAGGTGGTAATAATAACTGCCCCATCTTCTATATATACCTATGATGCTACCGCGTTTCTTGATACTGTAAATAATAGACACATCGTGTGGGTATGATTGAGCATGATAATCGCGCGGCGAAATCGACTGCTGAACCGTCGCTTCAATTATACAATTTGACGCGCCGAGCGGAGGCGCGCACAGTGGTCTCATCTCCGTTTTTCCTCTCCATTATACGACGGTGCGTAATGATCGAGTGCGACGAGGTCGGAGCCTCGATGCTCACAATCAGACGCACGATTTCGCATAACTCACGGCGCGCGTCGCGTGATCGGGCTGACAAAAATCGCGATGAAATTGGCTTTCCTATCGCGGTGCCGTTAGCCAATTTATCTCGCGCGTTTTCCCGAAGTGGACCTCGCACTTTTTGCCGTCGCCGTCAACAACCGAATACCCCCTCCCCCTCCTTCCCCTTCTGCGCGTATGCACGCGCGTGCCAATCGCGCTTCGTAAAATATTAATAAGCGACCGAGAACGACCGTCCCCGAAACGAGATTCCGAGTTAATCGCATCATTCGGAGTCGTCGACGTACGCTCGCCGATTAGATTCCTTGATTAACTCCATTAAACTCCACACGTAGCCGCATAAGTGCGAATCAGCGTAATTAACCGTCGATTGTGCGATGAGCTTAATTAACTATTCGTGGTAGCCGGTCGCCCTGTTCGGGACTCATCGGCCGGTGTCGACAACTGTGCTGATAACTCACGAAATCGTGCTGATTCCTGACGATACAACCTACTTATTTTCCGCTTGCAAATGAGGTACACGCGGACGGTATCGGGCGGGAGGATCGACACGACGACGGGACCGCGAAGCGCACGGGCCACGGCGAAACCCTCCCTCTACTTTTTTCAAAAAACCTAGCTTGCCATCTGTACGATCTTACCTCGCGAGACTCAAGGTTGCGAGTTTCTCACACTTTCCCAACTTAGAAGAGAAGCTGAACCAGATATTCTTATCCGCCCGAAAACGAAAGACGCCTAATAAATTATTCAGGGCGCGAGCGAGCACGTCTTTCGACGCGAAATTATTCACGGATTATTTAACCTTCTAAGCAAGGTGAATTTTCAGAACGTCGAGGAATCTTTCCAAGTATTTTACTGCAATTATTTAGAGTCAACTGGTAAACTTCATTTTATTTTTTTCATCTGTGAATAAACAGAGGAAGGAGCTTCATTAAAAAGAGACAGGGCATTTGAGAGCCCAAGTGTGGATCTCGAAGACTTCATCTTCCGTTCCGGAAGGTGAGAGTCGCCTCCCGTTGCGGTGCGCGATTCCAAGGCGGCTGTGATAATACCGAGGGGAGCGAAAGAGGCGATTACGAGCGCAACGACGGAAAGCGAGGTGCCCTGGAGCACAAAAGCGGCGCGTATTTTCCGGACACGTGGTGAAAAACGGCGTGTCGGGAACACGTTCTCAGGATCAGAAGTCAATCAGCGTGCGGGTTCGCTAACGTCTTCCGTTTCACGGGCATTTGTTACGACATCCTTTTTCAGCCGGTGCATCGCATCGCATGATTATAGCTCTCGCGCGCGGCGCACCGTACAAGCGAAATTCATCGGCCGGCGGAATTCATCAACCATCCTCTCTCTTGTATCGCGCGATGCGTAATTGAAATTTTTCCTAACCCCCGAGAGCGGTCGAGCCGGAGGGACACGTCCTCGTCGCGCTTTCACAGATGACTAAATTAACACTGGAACTATCAAAGCGATCGGAATGACCGGTTTGTAATTTATGAAAATTGTTTATGAAAATTATTCAAATCTATAACGGTGTATTTTATATTTTTAATTGATGCTGAGTAAAGCTGAAAGGAACAAATCGTATTTGTTTTTTGCATTATATACATGAATCTTGTGAAAAACTTCGTCGTTTCAGAAAAGTCGTTTTGACTATTCTAATCGTTGATAGTTTCAGTGTTAATAACGTTTTCTCCTCGTGACTGATTTTCTTTCACGCTACGCCGCATTGATTTATCGTTCTGGGGCAATAGGCACTGCGAGTCACGATGTTCCTCGTAGAAAACTGACTCCATCTTCTATATTCTAGGTATCGTCTTTACAGCTGCTTGTACTATCGACGATCAAGTCATTTAATTATCAAAGGCTCGGCGAATGAAACCTCACAGGTACGTTTGTCATTCGTACGTTTGACCAACTTTCCTCGAACCATCAAATCTCAGAAACGGGGACGCGGATTCATTTGTCCGTTCGCGGCTCCTGGTTCTTGTTCGCTTATAGATACAATCATTGCATTTCGGTCGCGATAACTGGTTATTTGTGCGCAAACGGCATAGCGAGACGAGTCAATATATCAGTTCTTGCGCCGGTGCACGCGAAGATAAAGAAATTACAACTTTGGCCTGAATCATTTTCGCAAGGCGATTCCGATACTATCGCGATCACGCGACTGGTATATCAGAGCTACGTTTCGCTGATGATCAATCTATCGATGCGGATCTATTATTCCGCGGAGAAGAGCGCTACCCCGATTTCTCCGGAATTCGCGATTACTTTTATCTTGAGCGAAAATTCAAGATCACGGATACATTGTGAAAGTGATGCTTTTATGAATGTATGCAAAGTACAGTTATTTCGCATTCCCCGCAGCTATTATTGAATTTTATATTTCTATATGCGGAAATGATCCCACATTTTTATATCGCTGAATTTTACATCCGAATTTATGACACATCAGACTCCAATGGCGTCGTATAATAATAGGAGAATTTATTTCTTAGTAATTTTCAGAAAATATATTTTACTGTTGGAATACGCGCGTCGCAAAAATTCATCGAGATAAAATGTTACGACCTTCAATCATCCGGCCGTGTGTGCATACAGGAAAAAGTACTAAATTCAAGTAAATAATTACTTCCATACTCCTTAGCAGATATTTACTTGGATTAAGTAAATTTTTCTCGGATCAAGGGAATATTTTACTTGGATAATTTACTTGAAAAACACTTTATTTGGATGAAGTAAATATTTGTACAGATGTTGCTCGATCCGAGTAAAAATCCGCTAAGGAGTATTGGAGTAATTATTTACTTGAATCTAACACTTTTTTTTCTGTCTAGACGCGCAGAAAGACGCGCGATTTTAAACACGACCAAAGTTTCTTCTGCGAAAATATGAAAGATGCAAACTGTAAAGCCAATTAACTCGTACGATGA